GCCACTAACTTGAAGCCCTATGTTCCACTGGGAACGTGAAGGAGAAAGAAAGGTTATCAGTTAGATCCAATTAATGCTAATTACTAGTATCGTTTATATTACTCGACGATGGAATATTTTCATCTTGCTCTGAATGAAGCGGATAGATAGCATAGTTCAGTGAATAAACCTAAATGAAATTATTCAACATTCATTCGCTAACGTATTCCAACAAAAATACCACTAGTCTCTGGTAAGTAACCCAAGATTTAATTAAAAAATCTCTACATTTGATAAGTGATATCTAGCTTTCTTTACCTTGCTATTCGCTACATTACTTTCCTGTCGAAATCTGCATCATATTATGTAAAATAAACTCTGGTTATTGGATAATTAACTATTTTACATCCATATTCCTTCTTTCACAACTATGACCTTTGACTTGAAATAATTTTTGGAGTGTGTTATATATTTTTGCATTTCTAATAGCTTATGCCAATTTTCGAGGCTACTAACAGCTGATGAAACGTTGTAGAATAATCCTGAGAATCTGTTTGTTCTCGCCTTGTTAGTATTCAATAATTCAGCGCTGTGGTCGTATCCTGATCATATTGTAATGAGTTTTCTAGACACATAATTAGTATTCTAGAAAGTTTACTTAGTCACAAATTTATTTTTTTATTATTTTTATTTTTGATTGCAGCTTGATTCCACACTGTATTTTTGGTACAGGTATGGAATTTTCAGCATGTGTGATATCGGTAGTCCAAATTTTGCAGGTCGACCGTAGATATCAGGTGTGCGTCGGCAGGCGATCGAACCTCGGACCATGTGCATGGTCGGCTAGAGTACTAACCACTGTGCCACCGACGCACAATTATTATATAGAAAACACCCCGCTTTTTATAACGAAGTAATAATAAGATGTCGAATCGCTTGCCCAGTAATGCTAAATACATGTCTATATTTGACACTTATTTATGCTTATATCGTTTTATTATTTTTCAGTTTATTGTTCAACCATATCCACGTTGATACATATGGTTAAATATTCTGTGGAGTAATACACATTACTGCAAAAAACACAAATGACATAATAAACACATAAATATCTTTAAAATTTCGTAAGATCAATAATGAAATACCATATATGTATGCATGGGAATCGATTTATTTTTTGTTTTATAATGACAATATAGGTCAAATGTTGCTCGAGATACTAGAACTTGATTTAAATGTATGCAATCTTTATACTATCAAAAGTTACCAGTCTGCCACGGATAAGTAAATCTCAGCGAGATAAGAGGTATTTTGGTTGTATAAGAAATATAATATGTAGCATTGATTGTTGTCCAGACCTGAACTTTTGTCGCATAGGATGTCGTTCAGATGCAGACTTGAATTCTAAGACAAAAGTTTGTATAGGTAAATGTTCGGTAAAACAGTTGATCCTAATTAGAAAACTAATAGAAGTGCCATAGTAAGTAGACAGCTAAAAATCACTTTGAAAGTAAGACGATGCGGCTATTTAGCACTCGCTATGTCGTTACTAATATCTTCATTGTTGATATTGTGTATCATTAGTTAATTCTATACCCCATCCCTTAGTGCTAAGGAAAACCATAGTGCCGCCTTCTACAGTGTTCCCATTAACCCTAATAAATGAAGCAGCCACTGAATAGAGTTCCTTGTGGGATGATTAGAAGTAACTGACAAAATATTGTTAACCCTTTAAAGAACTCTAACTCAGCTCTTGAAGAATTTTCTTCGTTAGAATTAATGCTAGATGACTTTCATTATAGGAAAAATCCACATTTAGACATTTAGAAGGCAAAGAAAAGATTGAGTAAAGAATATTCTTTTCGATAACTTCCATATCAGGCTCTGCATTTTTTTTTCCTTCAAGTTCCCACTGGAACATAGGGCCTCAAGTTAGTGGCTTGAAGTTTCTGTGGCAGCGTTTAATTTCACAGGATGGGGTTGCTAGCCTCACGCCCAACCTTTCCTCTTTGACAGTCTTATTACTGGCTTAGCGAGGTAAAGGAGTGCTTCGGCCGGGGCTTGAACCCCGGACCATGTGCATTGTCGGCGAGCGTCTTAACCGCTGTGCCACCGACGCACATTACATACATGATATTTAAAGAGCAACTGTTATTGACAACGTTGACGCTTCCTAAGTAACGCCAAGTTGTTAAGTCCAAAAGCATATATAAGTGATAATATACATAAATATATTACTTAACTGAGTATCAGATAAGGATTAAGAAGAAAATTAGGGGGACAACCATAGATAGTTAGAACAATAGTAGCTCATACAAGGCTTATAAGGAAGGGGAAATTGTCAGATTTGCACAGTTGAATCACGATGACTAAGGTAAGGAAATTTTCTGTACGACCTTCTTCTGAACACATAAGTTTGGCTTCTTTAGATGGATGCTGTTGGTTTCAACTATATATGGAAGATGAACTCGTAAGGCGAAATTAAAATTAGTAGGAATACAGTAGTTAACTTTAAATGCCTTGTTGGCATCGAAGTAATGTTAGGTATCTGTGTACGTGGTGAGTTGAAAAGAAGCATAATTGATCACACAGGTTAATATTCAGAAATCTGATGATGAACATGCCTAATTGTACACCCTACGTAACTAGCTCCGCAGGGGCAGTCAGATTGGTGTATACATATGGAAGAGGCAGAAAATGGGTAGCTTATCCTTATTTGCCGAACGCAAAATTGGAGTAGTTGTGAAGAGAAAGTGTACCTCTCCTACACTGAGTGGTCTTTTTACTGCTTCTTGAAGCTTTATTTTATTATTTCATTGGTTTTATCACCATGAAACTCCAGTTTTAAGGACAAAGGCTTCTTTGTAGCTGATATGTAATTGACACACTAGCTTGCCTTGGCAGTGAATTCATATTTATATCAACCATGTTTTCTGGATATCCAATTTCACTAGGTACTTTTTTAACAATTTTGAGGTAAATATCTTTTAGATTCAAACTGAAGTATTGACATACATCAGAATAATCTAACTTAAGGCATAAACGCACCCACTGCGGTTCGAACACAGGACCCTCCGGTATACCATTCGGCCACTAGGACTAAGTTCCTCATTAAGATAGCCACTAGAGAAGATTACTCTAGCTCTTAGAACCAAACTCTACTAAACTGTTTAATTTTCAAAGGTATATATATATATATATATATATAAGTACTTCAAGGAATGAAATCCTATCTTTTCTTTCTCGAATTATTCACGAAAAGTGGAACACAAGAATAATTTAAATCTACTCTAGTAGTCGTTGCATTTCGATTACCAGTAATAACATGATAAAAGGAATAGTAAATATTTACTCTCTTTTGGAGACATAAAAACAGAACAGTATTTTTTGTTGCCTCCACCCCTTTTTTATTAACATACAGTCAGTACGGTTTCAGTTGGTGACGATGTATGAATTCTCTTTTTCATATGCATGTTCATTTTAACGTGCGACATAAACAGATGGCAGGGTATCTTTATTTTCATCTATTTTCGCTAGTTTTTTGCATTTTCGGCCCATATATATATATTTATAAATATATCGTAATCAATATTCCACCATATTGCAATCATTTTGCTAATTTGATCATATTTCTCTGTCTTTAATTTATCCTCTAACAATTTAACGCGAATTATGTATCCTGTTGAACATTACAAAAAGCTGTTTAACGTAGAAACGAATAAATCACCTTGTTAATTTGATATCCATGCAGTTCCGAGAACTTAAGACGACATTATGGTTTGTGGTCTGACAAAACTGTTAGCATCCTAACATCTTTTCTTGTAAAATCTAATGCCTTAGGGCCTTCACTACAGAGACAGAACTTTTTTGAGAACCAGCACACAGTACATTTTGATACATTTACATGAAACCTACTTGTCTATTATTGTAAACATACTTTTCCATCTTTTTCTCTCTGGATGAAGCCTTTGAGAAACCAATCTTTAAAAGTATGGTCAGTAACTGGTAACAGAATGGGCTTATGAGGACGATTTAGTTCTATACACGCATTTAAGTAGTAAATTTCTTTTAATTTTCTAAGCTTAACTGAGACTTCAGGAAAATCTTAGCATCCTTGTTTATTTATTGTGAATTCTTGACTGTCTTTATAAAAGGGATGCAGTAATACTTCTCGTTCGTTGACCTTGATTTGTATGTAGGCTGCGATTAATAGACTAATAATTCACTTATCCATCTTCTAGAATACATTTTAATCACTTAATTCCCACATATAACTGTATCCTCAATGAACCATATTTCCCTGATCTTTTTCAATTAACAGCTGACTGTAGACCAATTCAGACCACCATCATTTGTGGAAAATATTATGATCCTAATTCCCATCAACCAACACAAGCTTAACAGTAAATTTTCGATGTAGAACTGAAATGCATTTATGTAGAAAAAATGACTGAATAATTATAAATTGTGTTTATGTGAATAATTATATCAGTTGAACAAAAGGACAGTGAAATTATCACTGTTACTGAATTCTGATAATAGAGAAAATCTAAGTGCCAAAATTATGGCACTTTCAAAGGGTTCAAAGATTTGGGTGGTGAATGATGTGTTTCATTACTGTTATATGCTCACGTTTTGCTTCTTGAACGAATATATATGCAGTTAAAAAAGGAAGCTTGCACTTCTAGTTGTTGGCATATTTACCATGATTTCTGCAATAATGCTCCTTCTCTTGCCCAGGGATTATTTAAAGCTGTTTTCAGTCTAATAAATGTCAGTTCTTGAAGTATGCTTAAAGTAACTTGCACGATTTTTACTGTAAGAGAGAATAAGCGGTGATCTGTCAATACGAGGAAATGTTCACATATTGAATATCACCAAAGAAAGTGGGTTCCATTCGGTTTTAACATAAATGTTGTTGGTTGACAGGAATTTATTAATTGCATGCTGATCAGCAGCAGTTAAAACTTTTCTCATGTAAAAAAAATTAATTTATCTAACTTTTTTCAACTCCTAAACAGATCGAACAAAACATTCATGCCATGGTTCATGTCCAGTGGTAAATGAACGCGGTTACTGCTGGGGTCCAGAGCCTGAAATGTGTCAAAAAAGTAAGCTTACTCTCATATATATATATTCTATAGTGGTTTTAGAACATGTTTTCATTCTGCGACTGATACAAATTTATTGTTGTTTAGATGAAAAGTCAGTAGTGAGGCTTTATTTCCAGAGCATTTTTAAGATAACTAGTAACTGGTTTAAGGAACTATCCAACAATTACCAACGACTGCTCTTTGTACCTTGTAGTCAACCATTATTTGTTGTGATGATCTATTGGTATATGGTGCTTTTCCTCGTGTGTTTACAGGCATTGCATTTAGGCTGAAGCACATTTTCATTCAGACAGTATTAGCTTGTCAGGCATGGTATGTATTTATTTATCTGCCTATGTCCAACAGAAGCTGGTGACAGTGTGCTGTCATACCTACAATAGTGTATGAGCATGCTACTGTGGAAAAAATGTATCACCATTCAAATGTCACTGCATGTAGCATAACATTTTCTAATTATGAAATACAAACTACGGAATAATTTGCTGACCTATTTTGAATTACGTCTGGTTAACTGTTATTACTGGTGATGAAAGTAAATTTTGTTTCAATGATGTCTTTAGATTCTACAGTTTATGCCTAAATTGTTTGAGGGACAAAGGTATTACCAATATTACATTGAGTCATGCAATCAATACATCTAGGATGTGTTTATGAGCAAATTTTGACTAAATTGCAATTCACACCAGACATTCAAGTAAATCATCACGAATTTCAATGAATATTTACTGCTGAATGCATATGATTAATGTTCACATTAAATTTTATTCTCTCTGTTTATCAACTTTTTATGAATGAATGTTAACTTCGAAGACAGGGAAAGAAAGTACAGTAGAATGTAGTGTGGTGTGTGTATCAGTGTATTAATGAGTATAGGAGTGAGTGAACAAAGATAAACTGAGGAAAAAGAAGTCCTTTTCTCTTAAGATCTGTTCAGGGTTGTTCATCCCTCTCTGGAGTTTTATTTATATTTTTAACTTCGACCACAAAACATGGATTCATTGGTCGTTGTTCACGAGTTCAATTAGAAAATAGTCCTCTTTCTCTTTATCACATAACATCCACTTAACATGCACATAAGTAGTCACGTTGATGAATACTGAGTCAAAATTTCTGAACCAAAAATAATATTTGATTAGAATTCGTACTCCCCTACGAAAAGAGACTTGAATGATAATTTATGCAGATCGAAATATACTCAGTATTGTAATTGTCGTAGCTGCGGTTCATTCAGCTGAGGAAAAAACCCGTAATACTCAACAAATTCAGCTAGTTTAGATTATTTTTGGGTGTTTTGTATGCCAAGGGTTAAGTGAAGACACCAAGTATTAATCCACGTGACCGTGGTATTTATTGATATGAGCATTTGTGTTTGCGTGTGTGTGGGTGTGTGTGAAATGTGTACAAGCAAAATAAAATGTATATATAAAGTGCTTTTTTCCGAAAATCTCCTTGAGGTCACTAAATACCTTATTTTTGTTGTTGTTGTTGTTGTTTGTTTGCTTAATTTTATGCTTTGTTTTAAGTGAGTGAGGCTGTGCACACATAAACGGCTGTAAACTGGTGTCATCATTTACAGTTAATCTGATCAACTATTGGATAAGCAGTGCTGTTACAAATTCATGATTTCATTATTGATCAATAGATAACAAGCACTAATGCACTCATTCTTTCTTGAACAATTCACAAACTGTTTTATGTTGATGTGAAAAAAAATTGTACTGCTTTAGAGAAGAGTTGCACTGAATTCCCTCTCACCAGTGTTGTTTTTTAAAATTCAGCAGAAATCAGTGGTTGGTTGGAGCTGCGAGGTTCAAAACTTAGCTAGATTGTAGATTTGTTCGCAAGAAATGTATTTCACGTGAATCTGTGGAAGATTAGGGAATGTGATCATACTTCTATCAAGTGCTTCTCCTCTTCCAGCCACTAGAAGGAGAAAACCTGGGCACTGTGGCAGAGTATAATTCCATTGTAGGTAAAATTTTATTTTGATAAAGTAAGTAAAGTAAAGTAAGTAGGGGAATAAATTGTGCTCTAAACGCTCACTAAATACTAGTGTATGACACTGCGTGACTTTATGCGAATAAAATTTTATCCATAATGGAATCTCAGCTGCTAAGTTACATGTGAATTCTTTCATAATGTGGTGAAAAATAGATGAGGTTTTTTTGTTATTCTCCATATTTCATTCAAAACTGCTCTTTAGCTACACTATCTTTCTGTTGTACAGACCTCAACTAAATAACATGCTTGTCACATTAAAGTTTCTGAGATTTACAGTGATAAAGTGGAATCTGTAGAGTCTCTTTAATTAAAAAAGGTGATAAACCACAAATAATAATATGTTGTGTAACAGAATGTGTGGTAACATTCATCAATTAGAAGAATACCTTCACTTGATTATGATAATGACTACATGCTCACCTCAGTACACCGAATGTTTTCGTTTTATTTAGTGTGGGTTTAAGAGTGTAATCTATAGAGCGGAGGTTTAAATAGCCTTGAGCATACTGGAAAAAAAGATGGACTATTATTTTTCCGTTAGATTTTTGGATGCGCTAATCGATTGGTTCGTTTTTTACAGATTATAGTCACATGGATTCCTATGGAAGCTACCAGCTTGGACAAATGAGCCAGCCACCTGCTACCAACTTTAGGTCTAATATCTATTCATAATGTGAAGACTATTCTCATAGTCATTCAAAATCTGTTATCATCACGCAATGAAATTATTCATTTTTATTTCTAACTAAAAAGAATTTAGCTCTTGTCCTTATTCAATTATGTGTCTATCTTGGAAGCATACAAACACTGGAGGTGGATCCCTGTTTTCAGTTTATCAGACAAATGAGTTTGATTCTGTTGATAGGAGTAAGAAGTCACTAGTCATATATTGGACAGACAAAATAGACGACAAAAATATTTAGTGAGCATGATTTTCAAGTTTTCAAAGTTAGGATAACTACATAAACTCTAGCCTTTGTCCCCTGAGATAGTTTGTCATGTAAAATTAAAAATCTAACTGGCGTATGAAATGCTATGGCTTTTTTGCTCTTTATAAGTGCTAAGTACGTTATGTTTACCTTACTAACGTAAACAAACGTAAACTTCAGTCTAATTAAGCAGGCTTGTTGGTTTTTACTGCTTGTCTGTATCTGGAAGGTGTATATATGTTTGTGTGCCTGTATGCGTCACCAAGTCTTCATATATATCACATGCTACTAAATCTTTGAGCACTGAGAGAAATGTAAGGTAAATAGAAAATGTGAATGTAAAGTGTTCATCGATTAGATGATTATCGATTTGGCTATTAATTTTGTAATACTTTTGGCTTTGAATGCCCCGTTTGTAATTTAGCAAACATCAATCATACTTACTATTCAACAGAAAACGAGCAAACATTTGTTATTCACTATGACAGAGATAACGATATGTTAACAGTTCAGATGCTCTGGAATCTATTATAGCAATTCAGCGTCTATTTGTCAATTCTAACAACCTCGAAATACTTGGGGAATCTCAGCTTACTATTAGAATATTTTAGTCGACCAATGACCGTGGTTATCATATTGAAATAATCGTGCCTTCGGGATTTGTAACGAAAGGCGGGGCTAACCTACCAGTTCCACTGATTGACAGTTAAATTTTCCAGGGCAAGGGTGTAAACTTTATTTGATCAAAATGCATACAGCATTAAGTGTGGTCTGTGTGACAATAAAACTGGAGTGCTACTAGGTGTTTGGTGGTTTTGGATGATTGAATACTTGTACAAATTAATGTCCACCATTTGTTTGGAGACTTGTAATCAGAAAAATATGGTATGGAAGTGTATTGCTTATGTGAATTCATCACCTACCTAGACCCTCATTATTGGTTAAAGAGGCAGTTACTCGTGAGAGCTTAACAATGACCGGACCAAAAGGTATATGTATGTAACAACAGATGACGAAGGCCAGGCAACAGATCGTTTATTAAGGAAATCAACACGTATTTATATATTTTCATGTACATTATTATAGCTTGTTCAGGCAAACAAACATAGTCTTCTGATTGGTTGTTTCTCACAGAAAGTTACCCTTGCATCTCTTTGTGACTGTTTCTTGAATGTCAGATCATCTATATGTTAACTGTATCTGCCTACGCAAAGTCTGCTGTGGTTGGTTGTTGAATCAGTCTTTGTTCATATTTTCTCACGACCAATATTTGGGACATAAACATTGACGTAAATTAATGTCCGGCAATTTGGCTAGCAGCCCGCTCTCATCACATGTATACTTCCTGTCCACAAGTTTGGTTTAGTTAGTTTCACAAAGAGCACATATGAAACTACTGATAACAGGTCACAAGATTAGTCAAAACACTGAATTCTCAAAGGTTTTTAATTGCATATTATTAAACAATTTTGATTGAGACCATCATCACTAAATATTACTGTATAACACTGTAAGACTTTAACAAAATAAATTTTACCCACAATGGAACTACAACTAAAGTCTACATATGCTAGAACTGAAGTTTTTCTCCAACTAGTAAAGCACTTAGTCGAGTCTGCATTCATTGCATAGTTGGGGCGAATGACTATACCAATGTCGAGTGTACGATTTCATAAATCCTGATGGAGCAATAAACATTGATTAGTTATGGTAGAAGTAAAGTCAGATTAATAACAGGAAATATTTTTTTATTGAAAAGACGGTTGCAGAGAAGAAAATTTTCTTTTCGCCGAAGTCATCATTCGTGTATTTATGTTAGATATGTGGGAAAGTTCCATACTTATTTTCGGTCAGAGGTCAGAATAATAAGATTATTAAGTGGCACTGCTCTAGAAATATTTCAAGCCAAAAGTCAAATTAAAAATTAATGAAAACAAAACACTTAGTTCAGCGAAGAGTCTCTTTTCGGTGAAAAAAATTTGCTGAAAAGAAACTCTTCATTGAACTACGTGTTTTGTTTTCATTAATGCCAGGATGAGGATTATCCATGAATTGAAATTAAAGACT